TGAGAAGGAAAAAAACCTTGGTTCATGGGAAGATGTGACAGGAAGGCAATGGATGGAATATAGTGAGCAATGTGGAAAGTAGCACGAGGGAAAGGCAGGGACAGATTATAACGGAACCTTGAAGGCCATTTTATGAAGTTTAGATTCTATCTGAAATAGTACAAGATCCCCCAATAACAGCATAATTAAATTAACTGATATATCAGCAACTGAAGAAACAAACTTGAGAACAACACAGTATGATCCCATTTATATTAAAAACCCTGTATATTTATGGACGCATTTATAGTTGACCCTTGAACAGCACAGGTTTGAACTGTGCAGGTCCACTTATATGCAGATTTTTTCCAATAAATATACAGCTGGCCTTCCATATCCCTGGATTTCACATCCACGGATTTAACCAACCAAAAGAGTATTTTCAATTCATGATTAGGAATCTACAGATGTGGAGGGCTGACTATATGCACTGTCTATGCCATTTTATATCAGAAACCTGAGCATCCTTGGATTCTGGTATCCATGGGAATCCTGGAATCCCCTACAAATACCAAGGGATGAGTGAAATTTTGGGGAAGTCAAAAGTTATATGCAGATGTTCCACTGTATGAGGAGGGGGTGGGGTAGGGAAATCGGTGGCCCTAACCCCAGTTGTTCAAAGTCAACTGTATATGCATACCACCATATATATACATATATATAGTAAACATCTATGTACACACACCTGTGTGCATGTGCACACACCCACACACATTTTACAAATGTTTAGAAAAGCATTCCAAACTACTGCCGATGGCTCCCTGTGGAGGAGAAATGAAATATGGAGACTTTTTTTTCACACTTTAATCTATTAGTTCTGTATTTTTAAATAAATAGACCATGAGACCACTGAATGGTTTTACATTTTTTCATATTAACAGATCATTGTTAGAAATCACTCTGGCTTGTGGCAAATGAAGAGCATGAATAGGGAGCCCAGACAGATAACGGCGATTCCATTGGTCTCAAGACTCCTTAAGCCTTTAAGGGCCTTCTGTACATAAATGAAAGCTAGAATGAGCCGCTAGAAACATGTAATTCAGAATCAGGAGTCCCAGAGTCCTGTCTGAATGCCACACCCCCAAGCCTTGGTATCTTTCAGAACTTAGGAGTTTCACGTAACTGAGGATGAATAAACTAAGGGTTTTCATAAACACGTCCTGTTAGCGGTTCATTTTAATTAGTGTGAACCCGGCATTGACGCATTTAACAAAGGTGGCCTATTTATGGGATACTGCAGCCGATCCCAGGAACTCAGACAACAGCTGGGTACCAAATTACTTTATTGGAAGGAACGGTACAAATGAGACATGAGTGGATGATCTGGTACAAGTTATAGAAAAGGTAAAGGTCGCGCCAACATGCAGTACTGCTTGGGGGACCAGGAAGTCTCCCCGAGGCCACGGGAAGCAGCCAAGGCTTAGCTCTCGTCGCTGTCCCCCAGGGTGTGCTTGTCAAAGAGGTACTCGGCCATCCCCGCTTCAGGGGCCCCCAACCTGCGCAAGTTGGTGACGTGGTCGCCCAGTTCTTTGATGGACTTCACCTGCTCATTCAGGTAGTGCGTCTCAATGAAGTCACACAACTGCAAACACAATGGGAAGAACACGGTCAACTCCCAGCCATCAGGAAGACCACTCCTCCATTCACCCTCAGGGCCAATACTCACATGAGGGTCATTTTTCTCAGTGGCCAGTTTGTGCAAGTCCAGCAGTGACTGATTCACACTTTTTTCCAAGTGCAGCGCACACTCCATTGCGTTCAGCCCGTTCTCCCAGTCGTCGCGGTCCGGTTTCTGAAGGAGAGGGAGTTAGGGCAAGGCGCCCGGTCTCACCGAGGGCACGACGACAATCTGGCAGGCAGACCTCTCGGTGAAAGGAACACCTAGGTTCCCAACCCTCTCCCTTCCCCTCTAAGATCAATACAAACATATTTAAACTAAAAAACGGGCCCCTGCTCACCTTGATGTCCTGGAGGAAGATGCGGCCGCCGCGCTGGTTCTGCAGCTTCATCAGCTTCTCCGCGTGCTCCCGCTCCTCGTGCGATTGGTGAAGGAAGTATTTGGCAAAGTTCTTCAAAGCCACATCGTCGCGGTCAAAGTAGTAAGACATGGACAGGTAGACGTAGGACGCGTACAGCTCCAGGTTGATCTGGCGGTTGATGGCGGCCTCCGAGTCCTAGCAGGAAACCTCGGCCGCTCTCCGCGCAGACTGTGTCCCCTCCCACCCTCTGATCGCCATGGTGGAGGTCCGGGGTTGTGGCCTGGCCTGCGCCCCACCCTCCTGCCCTCCGATTGCCATGGCGGGGGGCCGGTTGCCGCCTGGCCTGCGCTCTGGCCCTCCTGCCCTCCAATTGCCATGGCAATCAGGGCCGCAGGCCAGCTTTCCCATGGCAATCACCCCTTGTGGGGTGGGGAAAGGCAGCCGTTGCCCACCCCCCAACTCTTGCCTGCCTCCTGGGTTGCCGATCACCATTCTTCAGTCCTTCCCCTTTTGCCTTTCATCATTGCGAGTATGCAAATTAACCGCCATCTTTGTTGGCGGTCACGCAATCTTGGCTGTCAATTAATTTGCATATCTCGCTGATTAGCCAATGGGAAGGGTAGCGGTTGTACGCCAATTACCATGTTTCTGTTTTATTAGATAGGATATCCAAGACACATTTCAGAGACTGTGATCACGGACCTTGGTGATGGACTGAATAGGGGGGATATGGGTGAATGAAGAATAAAGACTCCCAAGGTTTCCCGCTGGAGCAAGCAGGTGGGCTGTGCTATGACTTATGGTGGGGAAGAGAACCACAGCCACATCTCTCTGACAAGCATATCACAGTGCCCTCTACCCATTCTTTGCCTTGACTGCATCAAAAACAAAGAGGTGAAATAAATGTGACATGTGTGAGAAGGAGAGGGTAACATCTGGGAGACACTCTGATGACACTGACTGGATTCTATGAGATTGATCCCCAAAGAGCAGGCCACTCTTTCTGCAGAGGACTCAGGGAATCAATTAGTAGGGAATCAATTAGTGGAATTACATCTCCCATTGATAAAAAAAACAAAACAAAAATGAACTGTTGCCAACCCTTTGCATGAAACAAAGGTCATTCCATTGAGCGACCTCTCTTTCATGTCCTGGAATGATCTCAGATCTCAGTTGTATTTAAAACACTGAATTAAGCAAAGGTTACAAGAAAAACCAGGGCAAAGTTGGGGGAAGGGTACACAAATAATGCCCATGAATATAGCGAAACTGTTTCCTCTAGCACAGCGATGTTCAACCTTTCTCATCTCATGGCCCACATAAACTAATTACTAACATTATGCAGCATACCAATAAATATATTTTTAGCCAATCTGACTAAAAAAATAGGTATAATTTGATTCATTCACATTAGATGACTACCGTTGTGTTGGCTATTGTCATTTTTTATTTGGCAATCTCAGGGAAACGAGGTCAGTGCCACTGACTAAGTAGTCAGGTATTGCATGTTTTAAAAATTCTTGTGGCACACCAGTTGAAAATCGCTGCTCTAGGACAAAGGAGGCCTCTCTCATCAGCTGCCCAGTCCCCGAGTAATGGGAGAAGAGAAGGCTCATGGGCTTTGGCTTCCCTAAAAGACCTGATTTCAGACTTTCTCAAACACACTTCTGACTGTGTGCTTTTCTTGCTTCGACAGAGGTAATTAAAATTCTATTGTCCATCAGAAACATGGAGACACCTGTTGTAACGCAGCTATTCCCAGGCCTCAGGGAACCTCAATAGGGATTCAGACTCAATAGATCTAGAGTAGGGTTCAGGAATACAAACCCCAAGTGACTCTACTACAGAACATCCAAGAAAAGCATGCTGGGCAGCACTGTCCTCCACTATCGAGGACAGTTGATAAAGTGTGATTACAATTTAGTGAGCTGCCCTGGAGGAATAAGTGGATCATAAAGATCTGGGCTGTGCGTCCAGCTCTGTCCTGGTCAGTTAGCCGGCATGTGAACCTGGAGGGGGGGAGGGGGAGAACACTTCTCTGCTCTGGGCTACGGTTTCCTCACTGATAAAGCACAGGTACTGAATTCATGAATTTCCAAATTCCCTTCAAATTCTGACATTTAGACAAGGAAAAGACAAAGGGCTGGAAATGCCAGGTATAGCGTATACTGTATACTTGCTCCACTGTATAAGACTGACTCTCCCCAAAGCACTCAGATTGTGAATATACACGAAGAGCACAAAATCTAGTGCTTTCTCGAATTTGCTGGTCATGAGCGAATACTGTAAAAGAGCTATATCTAAGTCATAGGCCCCTTTCGGAACCTGGCTTCTTTC